TATTATTATTATTATTATTATTATAATTTAAATATTAATCCATTTCCAATAATAAAAGTATTTTATTGAAAAAAAAAAAAGGAAAAGGATTAGTTTTACCTTCTAAGATCGAAATAAATTCATTTCATTTGTTAGAAAAATAATTGAATAATAATATCAATTAAAATTAAGTATATTAGTATTTTAATATTATATTTTATTCCATTCTTCAAATAAATTTATCATTAAAATTAGTTTAGAATTCAATTCGTAATTTCAACCAAATTGGATTAATATTTGAAGATCATTGATTAAATCAAAAATGAAAATAAAACTATTAAATTTAATGATAGTAATAATAATAATAATAATAGTAATATCGTTGTATTCTTTATATTCCTCTTACATTTGCTAGAAAAAAATTTTTTTTCAGTCGATTAATATGATTTACTAATTAATAATTAATATATATATATATTTAGTAGTAAACATTAATTCAATAAGTAGAATTTAACAATTAATAATTAAATCTTATTTATAATTTCTATCTTTGTAATTTTCAGCAAATGTTTATTTTTGCTTATTTAGTTTTATGCTTTCCCGATAATGATATTATCATATCATGAAAGTGAGAAAATAAATTCTTCTAACATGAAATGTTCACAATATTGATCCGTTTAATTCATCAACTGATAAATGATATACGTCTTCATCATATTTCATCTAAAGTGAAATACTGTTTGTTATTAGCAATAAGCTGACGAAAATCATTTGAAAATATCATTTAAACTTTTTTGTTGTTGTTGTTGTTTTTATTACAAATGATATTATAATAGTGAAAAATTAAATTTTTTAAAAAAACTTTTTCGCATATGAATCTTTTTTTTTTTTTATCACTCATTCTCTTATCTTATCACTTTCTTTTTCAAAAAATTTCTTTCATTAAAATTATTGTTATCACAAAAGTTTGTAAACGTTCATTTCTAAATTTTTAAATATTAACTTTTCCCATTATTATTATTATTATTATTATTATTATTATTATTATTATTGAATCATTTTAACAATTGTATCGTCGAACTATTCTCATTAAAGATAAAACAATATCTTTATGTTTCAATTAATTAATTTAAATTAAATTTCAGAAAAACGATTTTCAAATTTTCTTTTTAATAAATAAAACAAAAAAAAAAAGAATTGAATAAACATAAATTTATCGAAAAGATAAATGAAAGAGAGAGAAAGAAAACTAAAATACTAAAATTTGAAAAAATAAATTAAATTATAAAATTTCAAATTAGATAAAGTAAAGAAGGAAGAAGATGAAGAAAATTAAGAAATTTAAGAGAAAAAGATAAGAAGGAAAAAAAAAATAAAATTAAAATTAGAGAGAAATAAGAGGAGGAGAAAAAGAAAAGAAATTGGAGAGAGAGAGAGAAGAGAGAGATAGATTGGATGGATATGGATACTGATTAATAATGTAAAATGAGGGAAGAAAAAATTTTTACGACACTTGAAAAAAATTTTTATGATACATATACATATATGTGTATATATATCTATACATATATAGATATATTTGACATTTCTTCTTTTCCCATTCATCTGTCACATAACATTCTTTCAATTCCTTACATAATTAGCATAGTCAAATTTCTTTAGTTAATTATTTTTCCGTTTTTTTTTTTTTTACTTTTTGTTTTATTTTCAAATATTATCTAAGTTAAATTTGAAGTGCTAATATTGTCATGTTAAATTTATTGCCTTAAAGATGAGATGGATGAATGGATAGCTTTTCGACCAAATAAAATAAAAGATGAGCAAAAAAAAAAAGAAGGGAGAGAGAGAGAGAGAGAGAGAGAGGAAGAGAAAAAAGAAAAGAAGAAGCCTAAAGGCTGGACAATGAATGTAATAAAGTAGGAATTTTATCGTAAAAGGCCTCATTGAATTTGCATTTTCAGCAACAACAACAAAAAATGGGAAGGGGAGGGGGAAGGAGGAGGGAGGGGTGGAAAAAAACGTTGAAATTGCTTGACAATCTTCATTTGATGATAAACACTTTTAAGGCATCTATTTAAAATATTCCAATGATATAAGAAAGTAAAATGAATTATTTAAAAAGAAAGAGAAAGAGAGAGAGAGAGAGAGAGAGAGAGAGAGAAAGATGAAAACAAAAAAATGGACTAAATAAATCACATTGACATTAAAAAGTTTTTCGTGCTCTTTTCTTTTTGAAGAAGAAGAAATATTAAGAATAAATATTCTATTTGATAGAAATTTAACATTTTTAAAATTTTCAAGGTAAGAAAAAAAAGGAAATGAAAATAATTTATTTTTTGAAATGTTTGTTTACTTCTTCTTCCTCTTTGTTGTTGTTGTTGTTGTTTTGCTGTTGTTGTTGTTGTTGTTGTTGTTGTTGTTGTTGTTGTTGTATTAAAAGTAAGCTTTACAAATAAGTTTTTTAGAAAGAATAAATAAGTAGAAGAAAAACAAGAAGATCAAGAAAAGGAAAGGAAAGAATAAAAATAAACATCATATAATTTATCTTTTATCATATCATTACTACTAAATAAAATTGTGTAATTTTTTAAAACTTTAATTTACCTTTTTTTCTTTCATAAATATTATTAATTGAAAATAATTAGAAATAGCAATTAATGAGAAACAATAGAAATGATAACATTATGAGGGTATTGTATTTTGGATTAACTAAATTTTGGATACTTTTCTTTTTCTTCTTATTCAATAAAATTTTATGATAAATTTAAAGAGAGTGAAATTTATAAATAAAATTTGATATATAATAATATATTTGGTTTTTTTTTTAAATCATATATTAAATATTAGAAAAGAGATTTATAATTTCACTGAAATGTATTAATTTAATATATTATTATCATTATCATTATCATTATCCATTTAGTTAATTATAGTAATTATATCATACTAAAATATACTGCATATTATACCATATGATACTATGTGATAATGATACACACGATATTTGCATCGTTCATATAGTTTATTCATTTTAGAAGATATGTCTTAATTATGATAGTCTCCCTTTAGCTTATGGACGATGAAAAGAATTGAAAGAATTAAAGTTGTAATAAAATAAACAATCGATAGTGAAAGATGAATTTTGATAAATTCGTATTCTTCTAAAATTATCGAACTAATGAATAATTACTGAATTTAAGAATTTTAAATGATTTTTTTCCTTTTTGTTTAATATCCAATTATCAATATAAATCATTTGTAAATGCTTAAATGTACAATTCAATATTTGATAATAATCGAATATAATTTTCCATATCTTCCTCCCATTCCCATTTCTATTTATGATAGCAAAATAGTGATCTCAAATTCCTCCTCTCCTCTTGAACGGTTAAAAATCAAATCCTCTCCTTGAACGATTAAAAATCAATTCCTTTACTGTCATCAAATCAATCAGACTGATGATTTTTCAAATAATCGGAAATATGACATGTGACATAACGACGAATTATGATCGGAAAAAAAAAACAATGTATGAAATATGATTGAAATTAAATGAGAAAAAAAACTGATTAGAATTATTAATAATTAAGTATAATTTTAAATTATGCATTTATCAGACCCATAGATTACAGCTTAATGCGATAAGATCATGAGATAATTAAATAATATGCAGTAGTAGAGAAAAATTAATTTAAATTAATGAATTAAAAGGAAAATTTTGCCAAATGATCAAAATGTATTAAAATTGAAAATGAAATTCAGTTTTAATTAATTGAAATTAAAGTGAATGAAATAATACCTGTAGTATTTAATTGAACATTAGGTTGTGGTTGTGTATTGAGTTGAAATGAATGTTGTTGTGGTTCTTGCTCTTCTTGCTTTTGATTGGTATCCATTAAATGTGAAACTGATGACACTCGGAAACGGTTCATCGTGCCACCGGATCCGGATAACATCTTCCTGATACTAATAGTTTACCAACACATATGCATATATGTATACAAACACACACACACACACACATGTATATATATATATATACACACACACACACACACACACACACAAATACACCAAAAACGAAATGTAAATTGGATGTCTTAGAGAAAATGTGTTAGCATGGAAGCGAGCGAGAAACCCGACGAAGGATCGAGTGAGTGAGAATGACTGAAATGAACGAGCGAACAAACAAGGCCAACAACAATTCAGCCAGCTGGTGTTGGACGTTGCAGCCAACTCCAACCGAAACGAAAAGTGCGAGGAAAGGCAGGGTTAATTGTAGGGGTGGGGCCACTGGATCGGTTCCGCCGAGTCTTCCTAAAATCCGTCACCTTTTTTACCGTTATTTTCTCAAAAAAACTATGATTTATTACTTGACTGAATTTCTCATTCAATCTCTTACTTTATACGTATACCCAACCCATCCATTTACCGTTTCAATTCTGTCAATATCATCATTACGATCTAACCTCTCCAAACTATCTCATTCATTCATTCATTCACTGTGGTAATCTCTCGATAATATTATCACCATCGGTCAAGTGGTCTATTTAACCTTACCAATCCTTCTTATTCATTTCAAGAAGGCTAAGGATAGATTTCGATTCAAATGAAAAGAGATATAAATAGAAATATATATATATATATATATGAGATGATCTTTCCCGCTCCCTCCAATTAATTGCAAACATTATCAATGATTTATTGTATGTAATATATGTTGATAGCTTCTTCTTTTTTTTATCAATAGTGATTATAAATCAATATTTATTTCAAATCATTTATAATTATTAATGTTTATTTCATTATTATTATTATTATTAATTATTAATTATTATTATTGTTATTACTATTATTAATTATTATTACTATTATTATTAGTTATATTAATTATCAATTATTATTATTATTATTGTTATTACTATTATTATTAATTATTATTACTATTATTATTATTCTACTATAACTTTTGTTTTTTTCTTTTCCTAATTCATAATTAATTATTAAAATTTTAATTCGAAATTTTTTTTAATTTAAAAACATTTAAATTTTAATAAAAATTCAATAGCATTTGTCATTTCCTCAAAAAATGAATCAATAAATAAACTTTAAAAGAAAGACCGAAAGAAAGAAAGAAAGAAATAGGAAAAGAGAAAAAGAGAACGAAAAAATTGAAAAATAATATAAAATGAAAAAAAAGAGAGAGAATTTTAATTAATTGTAGAGAAAAAAAGAAAAAAAAATTTAAGAATGAGAGAAAGAAAGTGAAAAATGACGTAATTTAAATTCGTTTTTTTTTTTAAAAAATTAAATTTTATATTATAATTTAAATTGTTTGTAATAAAATTAAATTGTTTTAAACGAATGAAATTAAATGAATTTTTTTTTTTAATTAACATATTCTCTAGGAATATGTCTGTTTATCATTCTAATATTTCATTAACTTTCATACTATTTCAACAACAACAACAACAACAAAAAATCTAACTTCTCTTTTAATTAGCAAAAATTTCCTTTTCTCATCTACCTTTTTCGTATTATTTTATTTTCATAAAGAAAAATTAAAAATAATCTTCTCATATTTCTTTTATCTATCTCTCTTTTATTTTCTTCTCTCTCTCTCTCTCTCTCCCTCGTTCGCTCAATTTTTTAATTTTTACTTTTGTTTGTGTTTTTGTTATAAAAACAAAAACAGGTAATAATATTGGCTATAAGTAAATTGCTGCAACAATGGCTAAAGATGAAGTAAGCAAATGATATTGTTTGATTATTTATATATATAATATATATACATATATGTTAGTGCTATTTACTTTGCTAAGATTTGAAGCAAAAATTTTCATCTGAAATCGAAACATATGTTGAGTGCATTTTATGCTTTTACTTTTTTATCATACCAATTTTAAAATACGTCAATTTTTCTGCAAAAAATTTTTTTCGCTTTCTTTTTAAAATTTATAGGTTAAATAAAAGAGGAAAATGAATTGATTGAATATAAGATATGATTCTTTAACTATTTCCTTATCACATATAATAAAATAATAAATTATTATTTTCAAATGCAAAAGAAAGAATGATAAATGTTAAAGAATGATAAATTGTTTATCATAATTTTTGTTACGAAAAATTTTCATTACTTTTTAATCCATTCCTAATTTTAAAAAATTTATTATCTGAAATTAGTCGAATAATGTTTGATCAAAACGGATTTCATATTTCATTCATTTAGATTATCATTCCGAAAATTTACAATATTTCCATTTTTATGTATTATAATTCTAATCGAATATTTTTATTTATTTTAAAACAATAAAGAAATTAATTGGTTAAAATTTTTTTTTCCTTAACTTAACACTTAAAAATTTACAAAAATGAAATGAAATGATTATAAAATTGTAAATTATAATTGAAAAATTGTTTTAACATTTTTCTTTTTATCTCTTAGGCTAAAAAAAAAGTGCATGAAAATTAAATGATATTTATTATTGATTACTTGAATAATTTTAACGTGAAAGGTAGGTTTATTTGCAATCTTAAGTGACAGCTGTTCTCAATTAACAATCGAAAGGAAAGAAGAAAAAAATGCTATTTTATGTAATATTTCAATTAGGATTACTTTATTAAATTTAATAAGTGATAATTTTTGTTGTGAAAAAGAAAAATTTCCTGCAATGTGGAAATATTAAATATGCTTATGTTTGTTACTATTAGCAATATTAGCATTAGTAATAATTAATTAACAATTGTATAATCATCGTTTGATATATATAAAATAATAATTTCATCAATAAAACGGATATCAATTTGAGAATTAGGGAAAAACAAAAAATCTTTTTTAATTTTTCTTTTTTTAAAAAAATTTAAAAATTTCATTTTTTTCCTTAGCAATTAATAAGAATAAAAAAAAAGACAAAAAATATTGCAATTATTATTGACAGCCAATGATCACAGTTTAGCTAAAAAAAGAGTTTTTGAAAAAAATTCAAAAATTTCATTTTTTTTTTCCTTGAAAATTAGCAAAAATAAAAAGAAGAATCAAAAACGGTGCAATCGTTGTTGACTGCCGATGATCAGTTTCGTTGTTGACAGCCGATGATCAGTTTCGTTGTTGACAGCCAATGATCAGTTTCGTTGTTGACAGCCAATGATCAGTTTCGTTGTTGACAGCCAATGATCAGTTTCGTTGTTGACAGCCAATGATCAGTTTCGTTGTTGACAGCCAATGATCAGTTTAGCTAAAAAAAAAAACGAAATGTCATTTAAACATTTCATTTCGCTCTTTTTTTCTTCCACAAATGACGTTGTGATAAGCAAAAGGTGAAATTCGAAAATTCCTTACCTGTGAATCATTTCTTTTAATTTTTGTAATATTCAACACCTTCTTCTATTAATTTTCCATTTTTTTTGTTTTTCTTTCAAACAATTCTCAGTTTTTCCTAAAATAAAAGTTCCTAAATAGTTTTTCCTTTCCTTTCCTTTTGGAATTTTCTTTCCCAAATAATATTTAAAATTAAAAAAAAAAAAACGAGAAATTTCTTTTTGTTTTTATCTCTAAAAAAAAAAAACAAAGAGAAAATTTTTTGCTAAACAATTAAATGATAAAATTTTAATTGCAAATTTTTCTAATTAAAAATTCGTTTTTGTTTTTACATTATTATACAATGAATGTGTTTTTGTTTTTTTTTTCCCCATTTCATATATTTATATTTTCTTATTGGCTTCATTTTCCTTTTAAAGGAAATATACAGAGTGTAGAAAATTTTCTGCAATTACTTCGAAGTTTCGTTTCCTTTCGTGTTAGTTTTTTTTTTTTTTTAAGATAAAATTTTATAGTTTATAAGATAATTTTCATAAGATGATTGATTAAAATTTATGAAAATTTCGATTTGAGAATTCATATTGAAATTGACAGTAGGAAGTTTTTAAAATAATAAATTTGTTTAAATATCGTAGATGAATAATGATATATTTTTTCGATAAGTGTTATCGTTCGTGTTATCTCTTTTTTTTGAATAAATTTTTATTGTAATATTAAAATTTTTGATTTTAGTATTTATTGAGATAGCTATCTATGCTAGTGGATAAACCAATTAAATTTAATCAAGACTAAAAATATAACTAAAAAGATGACATGTTTGTAAACAACATAACCAATAAATGATCATAATGAAATAGTGATAAGAGGATATTCAACGTTGCTATAGCGTTAAGCAATTAGTTTTAATTGCAAAAAGAAAAAAGAGAAAAGATTGAAATCTCAATAAAAACAAAAGAAATTAATGTAGAAATATTGCTGGTAATAAGTAATTTATAAGTAGTGCAATTCAAAAATATCCCAATTTAAATATACTGTAATTTATTATCATTTTTTAAAAAATGATCGGAAATATTATAAACCAAATAAAGTATTGTTTATCTGTGTGTGAATAATCAATTCGATGTAAAATTAAATTAAGTTAAACTTGATTATTTAAATTTTAAAATTACTAAGGAAAACAAGAACAATAAGGAAATTATCAATGTAGAAAATAATATGTCGGAAAATCATTTTTTTTTTCTTTCCCTTTAAATTACTATAAATTATTATAAATATAATTATAATTACTATAAATAAAAAATTACCATAAAAAAATATATAAATAAATTATATAAATAAATTATGCGGATCTAACACATTTTAATATTTTAAATAATTTATATTAATTATGAAGTTAATTCGTTTAATTAAAAATTTCCTTTTATATATTTGTTGCGCATTGAAATAAATCAATTAAAAACAATTAAATTATAATAAATAAAAATGACAAATTAATAAGAACTTTTCTACCTGCTAATTATTGCAATAAAAAAATAGTGCGATAAATTGAAAAATGTTGAAAAAAAGAAGTTATTATTTTTTTTTCAAGAAATTTCGATATATTTTGATTGACATCTTTTTTATATATATTAAATATCA